GTTATTGTCCCTAAGGAGGAAATATCCCTTGTCTTATACAATAAGATTTCAGTTTTTTTCTAGGGTTCTTTATATTCTGTTGGATTATAGTAGGTATCACCTATTTATTCAGTACAATAATATTAGCTTAGACAGTGAATCTAAACTCTCCTGATGAAATCAGAGTACAAATGGTCTTTTATTTGGAAACTTGTAAGCAATGATGCTTATAAACTTTTGATTCTGGGTATTTAGGGATTGAAATTACGGGTCCATTGTGGCTATATATGAAATCTTGAAGAAGCCAGGTGCTTTTGTACCCTTGTCTTTCAGTGTTTGATAGTAAATGAAGAGAGCAGAGGAGATAGTGCAGGGTCTACTATTGAACCTTCTGATCATATCAAATATTTCTGAGTTTTAATGCTATGGATAGAAATTCTCGGCGGGGATGTTTGGGGGAAGACTTGACTTCCTACTTTTGTTTTTTGTTTGTTTGTTTTTTGGTAAAACAAAGCTAATCAAAAACTATGTGAAGTTAGTTGTCATAATGGTAGTTGCTTTAAAAGGATCATTTTTAGATACCACTTGGCATGTAGAAGTGTTTTAGATTAGGACTCTTGAAAAGTCACCAGATAGGTCGTTTCTGCAATGGAAAATTACTTAAGGCACGTGGTTTTCAGCAAGCAGAGTGCCCTACTGTTTCTATTGACAGATTTGAAGGATTTCTGCTGATGCATATTATTCAACCGGCTACAAACGTTTTGATATGTTGATTTCTCAAAAGGCAAATGCATTTTTCAACTATGAATATGCCATTTTATCTAAAGAAAACAACAAGAGGTGAATAGATATGGTAGTGGCCACTATATAAACACAATTATATAACCTGCTTTTTATGTAAAAAAAAGGATTGCGAACATTTTATGTATTTAAGTATTATTTAAAAGCATTATTTTTAATGTCCACATTTAGTCATTTATTCATTATTCATTCTAAAAATATTTACCAAGCTTCTACTATGTTCTTAGTGATACATACTGTGCAAGGAACAAAATAGGAAAAATAGTCACTTTCATGAAACTCACATAGTGTTCCTTTCTGCCGTTGTACTGAAAGTTTCTTAATCAGATTGGCCTATTCTACTTTTCAAAAAAATGTTGCTACCATAAATTAGAAATTGTGCTTCATTGTCTATCTTTTTAGCTGTAGCTTTTTGCATGTTAATGACAGTTTCCTGAAAATAAGATCTTAGAAATAAAATTATTAGGTTAGAACATTTAATAGCTCTAAGGATCTTGACACAAATTGTCAAGTCCTTTCTAGAAAGCTTAGATCTCCCCCAGACTCTCATCACTTCTGTTACCATTGTAAATGTTTCCAATAGAAACTTTGCTGATTGGAGTTAAGTCCCTTACTTCTTTAGTTTCCTGTGAAGCGAATTATCTGCCTGGTTGTGGACTGCAGTTTATCATCTATGCATCATTGCAAAATAGTGTGTAAGTTCAGTCTTAACCTTAGCTAAAAGAGGAAATTGCTGAAGAAGCAATTTGTGCTAATGGCTCTAAATTGCTGTTACTTGTTTTGGTTATCCTGAAACTGCACAAGGCCTGGCATATAGAGGGCATGCACTAAAAATTGAACTTTATTGTTTTCACATTTCCTGTGACTGCTGTATATGGAATTTTTTTAAAAGGAAAAAAAACTTCTGACATTTATAGAGTCTCATTCTTTTATCTGACTTATTTATGAATAATTTATGAATGTTTGATATTATAGTTCATCGTGATGATAAAGAATCATAATTTCACAAACACCAGGTTTTCCTATGTCACTAAAAATAACAAATGGATGAGAAAGTTTCTCTTTTCTACAGAACTGTCAGGCTAGAAATTTTAGGCCTTATCCTAGAGGTAATAGTGATCCATTGAAAGTTTCTCAACAGAAGGACTATATATATGTCACGATTTAGTAAAATTATTTTGACAATAATAGGAAGAATTGTACTTTAGGTATAAGTAAAACAAATATTCTTTTAGTATATGCTTATTTTAATGGCAGTTGTCGAACTAGATGCTTCAATATGTTAAATAAGAACTTCCATTTGATTTCTACAAAATGACAGCCTGAGACCATTACAAAACAGCATTTGGTTACCATTTTAGTGTGCTAGGATTGCCATAATATAACACCACAGATTGATTGTCTTAAACAACAGAAATTTATTTTCTCACAGTTCTGGACTCTAGAGGTTTAGGATGAAAGCGTCGACAGGTTTGGTTTCTCCCGAGGCTTTTCTCCTTAGCTTGTAGATGGTCGCCTTCTCACTATGTCCTCATTTTGTCTGTCTATAAACATCCCTTGTGTCTCTTCCTCTTCTATTGGATTAAGTCCCACGCATATGACCTCATTTTACCTTAATTTTCTCTTTGAAGTCCCTTTCTCCAAATACAGTCACATTTTGAAGTGTCCTGGGAGTTAGGACTGCAATATATGAATTTGGGGAAACAAAATTCGGTCCATTAACAGTTACTAATATGCACATGCAGTTCACACATTATATAAAGGCACATTTTTCAAGTAATTTTCAATAGTGGTGATAAGAGTTTAGATGATTAAACACTGACTCTTACTTTTTATATGATCAGCTAAACATACCTATAAAATGGTTGTTGTATGTCAGGATAATCATTTCAGAGAGTCACACTGAATGTTAGTGCTAAAGTTGAGGCTTCCCACAGAGAAGTTACTTGTGCAGATGCTTACATCAGTTGTTGATAAAGCAAAACTTATGTCCAAGATAAGTATTAGTATTCTCATTCTGTACATGAGAAAACTGAGATTCCGAATTTAAGGGGCTTACTTGTGGTCATGTCGTTAAGAATTGGCAGAGTGGAAATTTGCGTTAGGTCATTCTCAACTCCATAGGTTACATGCATAACAATTTTGCTTTGTTTCATCCCTGGATAATGCTAATACAGCACTGATGAGAATTTAGCAAACCATAGTAGAGTCCAGGAAATCGATTTTTTAATTAAACATCAAAATAGCTTGTAGCACTTTTTAACTTAGATGAGAGGATTTTCAGAGTCCATGTCTAATGTCTTCTTTGCTAGCCATACAATGACATGGACTTGAATTATAATACCATTCTCTTCTCTTGCTCTCAATTTCTTTACCTAAAAATGAGGATAATACCATTGGCCTTATAAGGTTTTTCTAAGATTTAAAGTTTATGTGTACAAAGTATTATGTACATTGCCTGACACAGCTGTCATAAAGGCTAGCATTTAGTCTTAGCTCTAATATTTAAAGATTTTGTAAATTTTACAGCTAATTAGTAATAGTAATTTTGCATAATTGGTAATTTTTAAAATATCTTTTATTACTCCATAAATTATGTGAGGAAAAACACCTAAAATACAAAGGGCTCATGTACTTGTCAAAGTCATCAAGGACAAAATATAATAAATTATATCTCATGCTATAAATAGTTGGAGAGGGGAAGAATCCCAAGACATGCAGTAAGTTCTATCCAAAGATAATTAGGATTAGGATAATTATATGAGTTAATATAAGAGAGACACATTTCATAGTGTATAGAGGAGGAAAAAAAGATTTGATTGGGACTCTGTGGAAAATTAAACTAAAAACTAGAAAAATAAATGTATCTTGCTTTAGCAAAAATCTAGATTATAAATACTGGAATGTGCTATAAGGAAAAAAAGAGCATAAGGAACTAATTTAAATCTAGTGAGTGATCTAGAATTTGATACTAAATTATCTGCATATTTCATTTTTTCCATCAGATACAGTATCTTAATTACAGCACTGAAATGCCATTTAAATAAAAGGTAGCTGATGTAAAAGCATTGTTCTGTTTCCATGTGGTAACTTAGTAAATTAAACCACTCTTCTATCATACTTTGGATTATTAATAATTAGAAATATTAATGCCTCGGTCAGGCACGGTGGTTCATGCCTGTAATCTCAGCATTTTGGGAGGCTGAGACAGGCGGATCATGAGGTCAGGAGATGGAGACCATCCTGGCTACCACTGTGAAACCCCATCTCTACTAAAAATACAAAAAATTAGTTGGGCATGGTGGTATGTTCCTGTAGTCCTAGCTACTTGGGAGACTGAGGCAGGAGAATCCCTTGAACCCAGGAGGCAGAGGTTGCAGTGAGCCAAGATCATGTACTCCAGCCTGGGTGACAGAGCAAAACTGTCTCAAAAAAAAAAGAAAAGAAAGAAAGAAAAATATTAATGCCTAACTATAGCAAAACTACAAATATCTCAGTAAACATTCTGACAGATGTGAAACCATACGTTCACAGGTCTTTCTCAAAGACCTTCCTAACCCAATAGTTAGGATGCAAAATTCAGTCCCCTCAACAAAAGTGTCAAAACAGTAATAGGACTGACTTTAAAGAGACTAAATACAATTATATGTATAATATACATTACAAACTTTCTGTCCAAAACAGAAATACATTTAAACATGGAACTTATATGAAGTGCATGTAGATATTTATGGCTCTTACTATAATCTTAAGATTCCTGAGTTCCAGTGAGATATTAAGGTGTTTCCTCTGCCAAGTATAAGCCACTTGTGGAATGAAGTAATATGATGCATACAAGTCTGTGGGAAGCATTCTCTATGATTACGGAATATAATTTGGCTTTAGTATCTTATGAGCTTTTGAAGTTACTTGAAAATAGTAAGAACTATCAGGAAAAATTATTTTTCACTAAAGCAGTATTAAATATAAGCTTGTTCTCTACTGTTTCAGAATAAAACAGTATGGCCATAATATTAAATGCAATTCCAGTACCTTTTTCAGTCTTTAAGCAGTGTATTTTTTAAGAATAGATAAAAATTTCTTTTCTGATAACCACTTATGAACCCTTGAAAAGACTGAATGGAAAGCTTAGCAAATTCACTATTACTCACTAAGGCAATCTTTGTACCCAAAAAAATAGAAACTCAAGGAATGAGAGAGGCACGAACTTGTTTTTTCAGGAATTTAATATTTTTTAAAAGACAGAAAATATAAAAATTACCAAAAAAAATTTTTTAGGTTCATTTTGGGGCTAAATACTAGAATTGAAACTCTTTTCTTGTAATTGATTTATGGTAAAGAGTAAAAATAATATAAAAAACACAGCAGTTATAGCTGTCCAAATTAAGTCCCATCTGCAAAAAGGCAGGACAAGATAGGCTGACTGAGCAAATATCCATATCACGACCTTAGTAACAAATTTCAAATGGTTTCAGTTCCCAAAGTCTGAAGGGAGAATCATCTTGCACGCTTAGATTCTACTTCTTCAAGAATCCACTCAATGCCATTCAAAAAACCAGTTAGCGTTTCAGCCTCTATATCCTGGACCTATGAACATATAAGAGAGAATATTGTTAGTAAGAAACTTAATCCAAAATCTTATGAGTAGGAGGGACATTTTTCTGGACACTAAAAAGAGAATAGAACTTAAAAATTCCAATAAACTCAGGATAAGTTGTTCAAGTTTTCTTTTGTAGAGCACTTAGATAAAAATAAGATTATCTCTCTTATAACTACTACCAACATAAGGCTTATTTGCCTTGGAATTCAGCTTTGGAAATGGAAAAAAAACTACCATTTCTGTGACATGCATGCATATATTAGGGGGAAAAATCATCCAAAGGATCTGCTCTGAAGACTAAAACATTTTTTAGTGACCCAGCTAGTCATATGTGTGACATCATATTGCAAAAATGTGTCTGGAAGACTGCCACTCCACCTAATGGTAAAGCTAAAACTCCCACCATTCAGAAGGGTAAACTTTATTAGTAGCTTTCAAACTTCATTCCAAAGAGTCTTTGGAGCTCCAGGGAAGAGATGGAAGGGGAACAAGGAAAATCCTCTCACTTCTGCAAAAGTGTTTCCAACTTTAATTTTTCTTTATCTGTTTAACCAGGGGTTTTCATGTCAGGTTTCGTTTGAAGAAAGGATGCCATAGTTAAAATATATTTTAGGGTTGGGCACGGTGGCTCATGCCTATAATCCCAGCACTTTGGGAAGCCAAGGTGGGCAGACCACTTGAGACCAGGAGTCTGAGTCCAGCCTGGCCAACATGGTAAAACCCCCGTCTCTACTAAAAATACAAAAATTAGCCAGGCACAGTAGCACATGCCTATAATCCCAACTACTTGGGAGGCTGATGCATGAGAATCACTTGAACACAGGAGGCAGAGGTTGCAGTGAGCCAAAATTGTGCCACTGCACTCCAGCCTGGGTGTCAGAGCGAGACTCCGTCTCAAAAACAAAACAAAACAAAACAAAACACATAAATTTTAGAAAGCAATAAACTATAAGATGGAACATATACCTTTGATGGTCCATAAAGCATAATACATTGATGTTGAAGAAAAACATAATAGTGGCATCTAAAAAACAACCTGGCCGGGCGTGGTGGCACACACCTGTAATCCCAGTACTTTGGGACACCAAGGCAGGCAGGCAGATGGCTTGAACCTAGGAATTTGAGATTAGCCTGCAAAACATGGAGAAACCCCATCTCTACAAAAAATTATCTGGGTGTGCTGGCACATACCTGTAGTCCCAAATACCTGGGATGCTGAGGTGGAGGGATTGCCTGAGCCCGAGAGGTTGAGGCTGCAGTGAGCTGTGATGGTGCCACTGCACTCCAGCCTGGGCAACAAAGTGAGACCCAGTCTCAAAAAAATAAAAACAAAAAACAGAAAGAAAAAAAATCCCCAATTGCAATCTCACTTTTTCTATGAGAGAAGAGGCAAATAAGAAACAACTGATCAGCTAACATTTATTACTGCCAATCAAATAGCTCCCATAGATTAAGCTATTAAAATTGACTTAGAATGCCATTTCCTTAAAGAAGATGAATAGAAAAAAAATCAAATAGAAAATAGAGGGCAAAATAAAATTTCTGTCACTAGAGAATAAACGATCTTACCATCCATGGGTGATTTAGAAGATTCAGACGCAGCTCATGGGCCAAATAAAAACAGGGCATTCTTTTAACATCCCCTTGAGAAATACAAGATAAAACCAACAATGGTCTTCCTGAAGACCCAAAAGCTGGATCTGTCATTGCCATAATATGAGAAAATTCATCTTGCCATTTATGTCCTAAGGAATGTAAGCAAAAACCCTTAATTTGCATTACTTTTTATAGTTTTGAAAATAATAAAATAAAAAACTAACAAAGCAAGGGAACAAAAATTTACCAGGATCCAAACATAAATTGAGGGGGAAAAAAATCACAGTACTCTTCAGATGTCTCCATAGTCTAAAAGCAAAAATGCTTGATACAGGTATTTCCTTTCACAAATTCTGTAGATGTCACTACCCTTTCATTCAAAGGGCTTACTTTCAAAATACAGGCACATAGTTGAGTTTAGTTTTTTTATGGAAACCAACAATCCCAGCCTTCTATTGGAGTGTTTAAACTATTTGCATTTTGTGGTAGGCAGAATTTTAAGATAACCTCAGTGTTCCAAACCCTTGCATAATAGTTTTCCCCTGAGTGTCTAAAGAACCTACAAATAAGATGGGGCATCATGCCCATGATCAGGCTTTAAGACACAGTTGACTTTAAGAAAGAGACGTTATCCTCATTGAGCCTGGCCTAATCAGGTGAGCTCTTAGAAGCAGCTCTTCCTGTTGAAAGATTCAATGCAGGGTAGATTCTTCATTGCTGGATTGGAAGATGGAGGGAGTCACATGGCAAGAAATATAGGTGACCTATAGAAGCTGACAGCATCCCCCAGCTGACAGCTAGCAAGAAAACAGGAAGGTCAGTCCTACAACAATAAGGAACTGAATTCAGCCAATAACTTGAATGATCTTGGAAGAAAATTATTTCCCAGAGCCTACAGAAAAGGATGCAACCATACGATACACAAATTTTATCCCATGAGGTCCTATGCAGAGAACTCAATACTACCATGTTCAGACTTCTGACATAAAGAACTGCGAGCTAAAAAATAGATGTTGTTTCAAGCCATTAAATTTGAGGTAATTTGTTAACAGCAACTGAAAATGAATAAACATGAAATGTACTTATCAGCAAGGTGCATTTAAATTGATCCTATGTCTTAGATTTTGGCTTGTCCATATGTTCTTTGTTCCTTCTTCTCTCTTTGCCTTCCTTCTTTTAGACTGAGTTTTTTAATGGTTCCATTTTATATTCACTACTGGCTTATTTAGTTATACCTTCACTATACATTTTTTAGTAGTTGTTCAAGTATTTATAACACACATTTTTAATTTATAACAGTCTACCTTTAAATATTATGCCATTTCACATATAGAAGAAACTTACAATAATATACTTCAACATTCTCTCTTCCATGATACATTCTATTATCATATACTTTTCTTTAAAATGTCCTACATGCATAATATACTATTTGTGTTTTTTTAATTAAAATTAGAAAAAAACCTTTAATATATAGCTAAATTATTACCATCCCAGGAGTCTTCATCTTTTTCAGTAGATACAGATTTCCATGTGTTATCATATTATTCCGCCTGAAGAGCTTCCTTTAAGATTTCTTATAGTGAAGATCTGTTGACAGTTTTCTCAGTGCTGTGGTTCGAATGTGTTTCTCAAAATTCATGTGTTGGACATTTAACCCCCAATGCAACAGTGTTGGGGGAAGGGGTGTCTTTGGGAGTTGTTTAGGTAATAAGGGCTCTACTATCATGAGTAGATTAATATTACCATTAAAAAAGGCATGCAGCCCTATCTTTCCCTCTTCTGTCATGTGAGAATGCAATGTTTGTCTTCCATTTCCCTTTCTGCCTTCTGCTGTGTAGGAAATCAGCAAGAAAGGCACTCACCAGACACCAGAGGCTGGTACCTTAATCTTGGACTTCCTGGTGTCCAGAACTCTGAGAAATAAATTTTTGTTCTTTAAAAATTCACTTATTTATCTGTAATAAAATTATACTAAGTAGTCTTGGGCGAACAGGAATTTAGGTGAAGCCAGCGGTAGAAAAAAATCACAGTACCATTCTGGTGTCTTCATAATCTAAAAACAGAAATGCATTGATATACAGGTTTGGTGTATTCTGTTACAGTGGTGTAAATGAACTAAGACACTGAAATTTTGTTTGTCTAAAAAGGTCTTAACATTGCCTTTATTTTCAAAAAACATTTTTTACTAGATATAGGATTTTTCCCCCTTGCAGTACCATAAAGATTTCTCTTTATTGCTTTCTAGCCTATAGCAATTCTGTCAGGAAATTTGCTGTCATTATTGTCTTGGCCTTCTATATGTATTTTTCATTTTCTCTGACTGCCCTAAAGAAGTTCTCTTTATCACTGATTTTTATCAGTTTGACTATGATGTACCTTGATATATTTTTCTTTATATTTATGCTTGGAGTTCTCTGAGCATCTTCAATCTGTGGTTTGTTGTCTTTCCATAATTTTGGCCATTATCTGTTCAAAAATTCCTTTTCTCCTGTTCTCTCTTCCCTTCATGGTTTGGGACTCCCAGTTATAGATAAGTTAGATCAGGGGTCAGCATACTACATTCTGTGGGTCAATTTTTCTAAATAAATCTTTATTGAAAAACAGTCTGTCCATTCATTTACATATTGTCTCTGCTGCTTTTGTACTGTAATAGCAGAGCTAAGTGATTGTGTAAAACAAAAAACAAAAAACTGTATGGCTTCTAAGCCTACAATATTTACTATCTGTCCCTTTAAGAAAGTTTCTTGAACCCTGAGTTAGATCACTGGATAGATCCCCCCAACGCTTAGACACTCTGTTCCTTGCTGTCCTTTTTTTTCTCTTTGTGTTCTAATCTGGATAATTTTGAGTGACTTATCTTCATGTTCAATGATTCTTTCCTTTGCTAATAAGCCCACTGAAAGAACTATTCATCTGTTGTCATATTTTCATATCTTGCATTCTCATATTACTTTTTCAAAGCAGGTTCCTTTTCTCTGCTGAAAAATCTATCTGTTCACACATATTGCCCACCTTTTCCACTAGATCTCTCGCTCTAATTTTTGTGTGTGGGGCGGGTCTCGCTCTGTCACCCAGGCTGGAATGCAGCGGCATGATCTCAGCTCACTGCGACCTCTACCTCCCAGGCTCAAGCTATTCTCCTGCCTCAGCCTCCCAAGTAGTTGAGACTACAGGCGCATGCCACCATGCCTAGCTAATTTTTCATATTTTTTGGTAGAGGTAGAATTTTGTCATGTTACCCAGTCTGGTCTCAAACTCCTGGGCTCAAGCGATCTGCCTACCTTGGCCTCCCAGAGCCACTGCACCTGACCTGGATCTCTTAATCATAGTTATTTTAATGTCCCTTTCTGAAAATACCAATATCCAGACCATTTCTGGGTCCAGTTCAACTGCTACCTCATCTCATGGCAATGTGTCATTCATTTTGATTTTGTGTGTGAATATCTTATAATTTTTAGATTTAATGTTAAGTGTTTTATGTAGAAAAGCAGTAGAGACAAGTAAAGAGAGTTTATTCTTAAAAACAGGCATCACAATTCTTCAGTTAAGCTATTAATTCAGTATGTTGAGTCAAACTAGTCTGTAGTTGAGCTGGATTTGGCTTTTATTGCTATAGTTAACCTTAACACATAGACTTTAAATTCTTTCAGCAGCATGCTGCTGCTATCTTGTTCTCAGTAAGAGAACTGGAGTGCCAGTGTTTCTTTCTCAGAGTTTCTACTTGTTCCTCAGCTTTCGGCAGATCTTGTAACTGTGCTATGGAGGCTATGGGAGAGGGGCAGGGAGAGCCTCTCCATGCCTTCCCCCCATCCCTGCAGTAGTCTGCTATTGCTCCTTAATTGGTAGGGACATGGAGATTTCTTATCCCAGCCTCAGGCCTTAGGTAGGCCCTGTGCACCTGAGTCTTAGTGGTGGGAGCTTTCTCAGTGTTCCTGCATGACTGCTGAATTCTGCCCTGTATTGGTAGAAAGGTCTCCACTGTAAATTTTCTGCCTCTCCTCCAGAGTCAGCAAACATTTAATTTCTAACAGCGCAAGATCCTTGTTACAAGTAGGATCCCTATTCCTCCCCTACGACAGCTTTTGTTTTTATCTCTCTTGAGACAGCAGCAGTCAACTTTTGTCTGTGGAAAACAGATTTGGCTTCACTGAGAAAAGGATATAGAAAGCAGGAAGATATACCTGTCTCCAAGTAGCAGCTGGTCATCACATGCATGCCTGTACTACCAAGGAGGGCACTCATAGGTCTCCTGCCCTATCACTAACCTTTTACATGAACACCTAGTAGAGGCCAGTGGGAAAAAGCTGATAAGTGGGTATAGTGTCTTTGTGTCTTGTAATGTTTATAAATTTATTTTTTGTCTGCTTGTTTTATAGGATGATATAGGGAGCAGATTGGAAAACTAGATAAAAGTAGAGGCTGTATCTGTTTTCGTTCCCAACTGTAACTGCAACATGCCTGTAGGAACTAAAAAACTACTTGTTAAATGAACTCATCTTTTATTTGGCTTCTAAGTTTTCATTTTATAGATAGCCCTGGAATAACAGAAAGTAATTGCAAAGTATAATGCTTCCATGCCTAACAGATCACAGGGAAAACAAATTCAACAGAAATTCAAACCAGTGTATTAGATAAAGAACTATAATATATATACAGTATATTATATATTTATATTCTAACTATATTTATATTCTACCTTTGTTCACAAAGGATTTGGGAAAGACATTATAATACTGGCTCATGTCCCAATGATATTTTGATTTCACACACAAATAGCATTCTGAATGGCAATTATTCAGACTATATGGACAGTGTTTTCAACTAATCTACTTAACACCCCACCATCACATCTCTCTACTATTTGGATAAAACAAAGGTAAAATTGTTCATAGTTATTTGCATAGATTATCTGAATAAAGCCAGAAGCAGACAAAATGTCAGTATTAAAAAAATGCAGAAGCGTACAACAAAAAAATATTGTATAGCTGTAGTTACAAACTCTGGAATGCATTAGAACTCCCTGGATGCTTTTAAAAAACAGATTCCCAAATCTAGGAATAAAATCCACCAGGGTAGGAATTAGCTTGTTAACATGTTTAACAAGCTCCCTAGGTGATCCTAATGCACACCAAAGCGTTAGAATCCACTATTAATAGCAAGGGACAGAAAATCACATTGATAAAATCAGCCATCATATTCTTAAGAAGCCACAGTAAAAACTAATAAGGTATTTTTTATTTGCTTTGAAAAGAACAATGCAGTGATGCTTAAATATATATATATATATGTATGTATATATGAGTGCTTACTTTTATGAGCTTCACCATTTGCAACATAGATGAACCCATCTACAACTTCACACACTTTCTGAATTTGCGGAATCACACTATACCGGCTTCCTTGTTGATCATCACCTTCATTCTGTCGACTGAACATCTTGTTAACTGCACTTGTATGCTCTTCCCTTGCTCTATCTCTTTCCTTTCTAGAAGAAAATTGTAAAGATAGAATATAAAGACACTAAACAGGATCCACCCCCTAAAATGTTTTAGTTCTGATGTTTCAGTTAAGCTGTCAAGTAGGTAGCCTTACCTGGTAGTTGAATATAAGATCAAAATGTTGAATTTATGTTGGCTGCTCAACTGAAAATTGACTCCTGATCCAATACCTAAGAAAGAAAATCACAGTTATCCAAACAAGTCATTAATAAAAATAGCAAAAGATGAGACTGAAAATTACCCAGTGAAAGCAAAAAGAGCAAAGAAAAAAACTGTATAACAACGTATACATAGATTTGAAATAAAATGAAATGCTTACATTGACGAAAAAGATGCTGTTTGTAATTTTCATTCACATGGTAATAAAAATACAGAGAAAGAAGAAAAAACTGCTAGGCTTATAACAGTCCTTCTTATATCATCACCACTATCATCAACAACTTTATCATCTTATCAGTAACAGCTGCATCATAGCAGCTATTACTATTTATCCTCAAGACTAAGACTCATTTTCACACTTTTATGTTTTTCCATTAGTCTAATAATCCATGTATACATTCAATTCAGTGTCTTTTTCCCCCTATGAAAAGCTGTTTTTAAACTGATGCAGAGCCAGGCGTAGTCGCTCACACCTGTAATCCCAGCAATTTGAGAGGCTGAGATGGGAAACTTCACTAGAGGCCAGGAGTTCAAGACCAACCTAGGCAACATAGTGAGAACCTCATCTCTCCAAAAAAATACAAAACAATTAGCCAGGCGTGGTGGCGTATGCCTTTTTCCAAGCTACTTGGGAGGCTGAAGTAGGAGGATCACTTGAGCCGGAGAGTTCAAGGCTGCAGTGAGCCATGATCATGCCACTGTACTCCAGCCTGGGCAACAGAGACGTTGTCTCAAAAAATAAATTAATGAGGAATCACCAAAAGCACTTTAGTAAGTTGAGAAAATACTGAAGATACTGAAATTTAGGATTTGACAGAGTCGGATTATAATCCTGAATTTCTCACTTACAGCCATGTATTTGTATCCCTCAGTTTGACACCAAAAAGAAGCAGAAGTAATATATTCCTCTTAGGCTTATTGGGAAGATTAAATAAGATTAAATATAATCATATGTAAAACTCCTAGTAGGGTGACTAGTAAATCACAGGTGCTAAATATTAGCTTCTTACTGCTTTATGTCTATAACAGTGAATCATTAGTTCACTGCTATATATTCTTCTTTCTTAACCTCTTCCCTCCTTGGGCTGTGTTAACACTAAGTGGCTGGTTCTCCTTTTGCCTCCTTTAAAGACCCTTCTGGGTCTCCATGGCTCTATTTCATCCTGCTATATAAATGTTCTTTTAGATCTGTTCAGTTCTCTGCATCCCCATGGCTACACTTTAAACTGTCATCATCACTCACCCAGACGTCTGCAATCACTTCTCACCAGTCTCCTATTATCATTTCTTCTGACAGCAGCTGGAAGAATTTTCTAATAATGATATCTAACTAAGTGTCTTCTCTACCAAGCTATTGCTCTTCAGATGAGGAAACAAAACCTTAATATCTGGCCCCTACTAACCTCATTAGAGACATCTCCAGCCTTTCATAATCTGAAATCCTGCATTATAACCAATTTATTTGTTTAAATAAGCTATGCCATATCATCTCATGTCACCATTCTAAGCAATACATGTTTAGGACTCTTAAGTGCCAAGACTGTAACCATCCCAGGCCATGTGATCCTAGTCCTCCAGCCACCAGTCAGGTACATGTTTCACAGAGACCACAGAATCTAAATTTACCATGTTTCTGATCTTTGTTTTCATCAACTGTACTCCCAGAGATCGTCCTCGCAACACATCTAACTTCAGTCCAAGAGTCCCCATACTGTTCTGCCTTTCTTTGCCAATGATGTAACCCCATATTCTCTCATCTTGCTGAGTGTGAGGCATATATTGACATTTTAAAACAATCACATCAGCTGCTTTCTAGAAAATGGATTGCCATTTTCCATCAAACTTCCCCATTTCTTCAAACTCTTCTTGAAGTGTTCCTTTGACCTAATGGCCCTGCTTGAAACTGGCCTGCTCCTAGGTGAGGCTTTTCCTGAAGTGAACTCTCAAATAGAAAGATGCTTATTTTCTCAACACTTGGGGTAAAGAGGTGGGATTGAAGTTCTCTCAACTCCCAATACCATGTCTAAACCATTACTCACCAAACCTCTAAAAACCTCCTTCTGCTTGAGAAACACATCATTCAGCTGTAGCACTGCTTCCTTCCTTGTCTTTTTATTAATGAATCTCCATTTAATAATCACTTCCCCCAAGCACAAACTGAAGATTTCAGCACCCATCTCCAATCTTCCTCTCATCCTCAAAAACTTCCAGTCCATGTGGACTCCATGTGACTCCCAAATCTCCGTTTCTATCCCAGATCTTACCCTTGTGAGACAGATGCATATAGTAATCCATAAAGTCATTCACCCATTCACCAAATACACAGAGAGTGCCTGCTATGTTCCTGGCACCAGAGATATAGCTAAAAATAAAGTGGACAAAATTCTTACCTTCATGGAGCTTCTGTTCTAGTGGATTTGCTTATAGTAGGTCTCTCTACTTAGATCTTCCATAGAGTTATCAAAAATCAACACATTTCAAATAATAGCTGCCATTCTCCCTCTACAGATCTTACCATTAGCTGCCCCCTTCCAAGTTTCTCTTACTTCTTTCTCCCTTACCTTCGTGAATCCTGTATCATCCAACACAAAACTTAAGTCAGAAACCTGGAGCCATCCTTATTACTGCTAATACAGTCATTCTGTCAATTTTATATCCCTACTATTCATTCTCTTCTCTCATCTTCACTAACAGTGACTTAGAGTTCAGATCCTCTTCATATTTTAATCACAATATTACAGTGGCTTTTTTTTTTTTTTTTTTTGAGACAGAGTCTTGCTCCATTGCCAGGTACCAGGCTGGAGTACAGTGGCACAATCTCAGCTCACTGAAACCTCCACCTCCCAGGTTCAAGCAATTCTCCTGCCTCAGCCTCCTGAGTAGCTGGGACATGCACCACCACGCCCAGGTAATTTTTGTATTTTTAGTAGAGACGGGCTTTCACCCTGTTGGCCAGGATGGTCTTGATCTCTTGACCTCATGATCCACCCACCTTGGCCTCCCAAAGTGCTGGGATTACAGGCGTGAGCCACCACACTTGGCCTACAGTGGCTTCTTAATACGTCTCCATATCTTCAGCCCCTTCTAATCAATTCTTCACTCGGGAGCCTGAGTAACCTTTCTAAAATGCAATCTTGATCATTTCAATCCTCTACTTAAAATCCTTCCACAGCTCCCAAATGCTTAAGCATGGTACATATGTGTCTTTTCACATAGCTCTACTCTTTCTAAATACACAGTGATAATTCAAATGTGTCCTCCACATCCAGAGTTTTGTGCTTTTAGAAATGTAGCTCTCCCTGCCTGGAACACCTTTACTGTCTTTTTGTGATGGCCTGCAACTACTCACCCTAGTGACTCATATGAGACATCATCTTCAATATGGAGCCTTCTTTTACCATTACCTTTCTACCCAGGAGCTATATCATAGTCTAATTATCTGTATACTTGTCTATGTCCTCACCTACACCAAGTATCTTGAAGGCAGACACAGATATTGTTCTAAATGTCTGCAACTCCATCATCTATCTCACTATTAGGGGCTGGCTCTCAATAAAGAAGTAAAGCAAAGGCTAAATTTTATTATCACTTATATTTACTATTTATCTTGCCTTGCCAAATACTTATGAGTTGTGGTGTTTTTTCTAATAGAAAGAGGGGAAGGTGAAGATTTAATTCTTTTGAATTCTAATATATATCAAAACACTTTGCACACAGATGCTGAATTGTTTCTTCTGCTTTTTTCAAATATGATAAATATTGTATCCCACTATATAACATCCTGGCAACAAATAATTTACTTTCACATAATTTTAAAGTCTGGATTGCACAAATTTGAGGAATTAAGAAGAAGCTTTCTTATAGTAGGTAAATTAATTCTGTCAGTCCAGCAGAACCTGGTGGGGGTCCCAATAACCAAAATACTGTATTTCATTATAGCAAATAATTAATTAAAAATGAATTTCTTTCTTTTTAACAAGAATGTCAAGCTCAAAGTGTTTGAAATAACTGTAGATTAACATGAAAATTACCATCAATTTGCCTCTGAGGCAAACCAGCTGTTGGGCAAAGTTCCTCCGAAGACATCAAGCTCAACACCAAAGAGGTATTCAGTTCTTCCAAACCTGGTCCAAACATAGCAAATCGTGGTTCATTCTGAATGATCAGGGAGTGTAAAAACGAGGTGACAGCTCCATACACAGGACGGCTGGTTTTTGAAGCTTTTCTTGTATATGGACAGCACATTTTATAGCTGTATAAAATTGTCACAATTAGAACAGTAACACAGACAATAGCCAGTTATTCATTCAACAGTATATAATTTATTGAGTACTTGCTAAACACAAGGGATACAGTGATTATATAGTCCCAATCCTCCAGAAGGACAATGGAGGATAGACACCTTTATAACATGTATGTGGAGTGCTCTGACAGGGAAAAGCACAAGGTGCCATGAGAGTAGGAGTGGCCCAGAAGCTAAGGAAATCTTCCCTAACAAGTGGTTACTGTACTTACTTTCTAATCTTTCATTTAGATTATCTCATGGAAGGACTGAATGGTGAAAATTTACTACATAAATGTTCTCAACTTGAGGAGGTTTACCCCTGCCCCCTGGAACATTTGGCAGTGTTTGAACAACATGTTTACTGTCACAACTGGGGAGGGGAGAAGGAGCAAGTAGAGGCCAAGGATGCTGCTAAACATTAATCCTACAATGTATAGGGCAGGCCCCAGAACAAAGAATTATTTGGCTCAAAATGTCAATAATGCCAAGATTGAGAAACTCAGTGCTGGAAATAAGCTACACACAGATAGTTAGTACAATATCCCTAGAGGTAAACAAACACACCAACCAAAAAATTGCTAACACTACCAATATAACCAAATTTTAAATTTCTTGAGTACTCCTACTAACAGCCTCAAATATGACAGTTCAGTAAGAGTTAAATGAGGGAGGCTCAAATGATCCTTGCAGCAAACCTAGCAAACTAAGAATCATGTAAAACAATTCAGTTTCTTGAAGTGGCTATAAATCTTTAAAGTATCAATTATGCATTTTATCAAAAATTATAAGTTACTCCAATCAAAATAAAACTTAAAGTTCTTCAAATAAATCTAGCTGGTTAATGAAATCACTAACCTAACAAAATATTTTTATTAGAAACCTTGTAATTCATGAAGGGGAAAAAAACAAACAAAAAACAGCTTTGAAGCCAGACAGACTTGGCCAAGCCTCACCACTTTTAGTTATAGGAACCACTTAGAGCCTGAATTTCAGTTTCTTCGTGTGTATTGAGCAACAGCAATAACTCAGGGTTGTAAAAATTAGAAGTAATTTACATGACCATAAATGGTAGTTACTATCACTACTATTCCCTGGGCAAAATCTGACTCCACAGCCTCACATACACTTTATGCAATGATTAGCTATGGGGCAATGCACAAGTATTGCCTAGCAAGCACTTGCTGAGATTATATATAACAGATGACATACCTTTGGATCAAACAGTCTCACAACAATTGACATAGTGACAACTGTATTAGAAGAAGGGAAGGCTCTGAATAACTCAAAATTTGGAAAAAAAAAAAAATCCTGTATGTTGCTACTGAGTCTAGCACAACAAAACAACCTTTAAAGAATAAATATTTTTAAATGTTTAAAATAATGCCTTAAATTTGAGTATCTCAGTAAAACAGGCTATATCCAGATCCAATGACATTGCATATCTCTGAGGTAGCATAATAAGGTTCCAATCTGAATGGTCCCTTACAAGCTACATGACTTTAGGCAAATCACATAACCTCCATGAACCTTAATTCCATATCCATGATACAAAGATAATACCTTCTTGTTGCATGAGGATTAAATGAGTAAAACATATAAAGCATTCCTCGTAGAATCCAATACACTGCAGTTGCTCAGTAACATTAATTATCTCATCTACACGATATTAAAAAATGTCAGTGCTTTTGGGTAATATAATCTTATTTCTCAGAGCCTTTAGAATGGTTTTCTTCCCTGCCAAAGAACAGGGATCTCTGATCATTCTTTTTCTGGATATGGAAAAGTATTTACTTATTTAACAAAATGACAATTGTTCTAAAGATCATGAGCATTTTAAGAAGTCTTTTACTTCTTGCTTTCTATACTACCTATAATTATTGAAATATTGGTTAGGTACCACAGGGAAATAATAAAATATTAAAGCTGAAAGGGTCCTATGAAGGAAATAATTTAACTCAATTACCAGTTTTGACAAGAGAACACCTAGTCACCAAATCTATGCAACAAATCAGTAGCAGAGTCAGGACTAACTTGGATACTGACTAGTAATACAGTAAAATTTAATATCTTCTTTTAATTCATAAACTAGATACTTACACTGCCATGTAGTCAAAAAATGCACCATCAGTGATCTCAGATATAGGTTTTTTTAAGATCTCTAGATCTGGAAGAGACTTCCAGTCAACAGAAGACCAAGAAGGAAGATCCCTCACCAGAAAATATCTCCACAGAATTGGATCTCTTACAGTTTCATTCCAATAATGATTTGTACTTCCCAGCTGACACAGATCATGAGGTGAAAGAAAGGACAAAATATATAGCTGTACATCAATCTGAAACAGAAGAAAGCAGCAGGTAAGAAAAAGGAATGAAGAAAATAGTTTTTGGGTGATAAATCTCACAATCAACAAATAAATAACAAAAGATCAACTGACTAGTCAGTATTTTTAATAATTAAATCTACCATTAATAATTAAATCTATTATTTTCCTGCCATCAGCAAAGGATCATAACTGAATATTTTTTTCGTAGTTTTGTTAAAGATTTAATTTCTGAAACACTGAAACATTCCTGAAAAAGCAACCACTGTCTTGCTATTTTTCCAGTAAAATAACCAGTTCCTTCAATTTTTCCTCAGTGATATTTGGATATACCAATTGGTTACATAAATTAGTTAAGAAAATAATTTCTTCTTCAAAGTAAAACTTCTATCAAGTGGACAATTTTCTGATTTTATCATCAGACTAAATTAAAGTGTGTAAATTTGTCATCTTAGTCTTAGTTCCTCTATGGAATATTAAAATGCTGCAAAAAACTTTTGCAAGGAGTAGAAACTTGGAGGCATTCTAAACCTGCAGTCTTCATGTTGGTATACACGTCGGAGGGAGGTGTCAATAGTCCAAATGAGACAAAGAATTGTAATAATTTTCAATAATTTCTGTTGTCTTCATTTACCTATCTACCCCAAAGTTTAACAATAAATTATGTATATAATTCTCGTGGCCTTGAGGTAACTTCAGGCACTTGCAACTTAGTCATTTATTTTCAACTGTGGGGCAGTTTTGTCTCTTAACATATACAATAACAGCCACAGGCAGAATGTCCTCGGAGAGCGTGAAAACCTTGGCCCTTAGGTGTTTTGATACAATGATTCGGAATCAAAGATGCTGGGAACATGGACGCTGGAATGCTTTCCCAAGTTAACCAGCAAGCTGGGAACGGTCTCATTTCCGTAAACGGATATTCAGGGTGTCACATGTGCCTGTTTTGGGGGTGGAAACCCTGAAGGCAGTCGGGCTGGTCACCCCAGGGGCCCGGTTTAGGTGCTTCCCTGAGATGTTTGGGCCGCCTGTGGAGCACCGGGGTCAACGCCAAGACGCTGCTGGTCAACTGTAGCTTCTCAGTGACTACACTGCCAGGAATGGGCTGCACGGACCGGGCCCAGGCCGGGGCGCAGGAGTTCCCCAGACCCCGGGGGGATCCCACGGCTGTCCCTCCGGCCCGGGCCGGCCCCACGGTCCTCCGCGGCCTGCGGCCGACGCTCACCGGCAGCCGCGTCAGGGTGCTGGCCGCCTCATCCACCTCCTCCCGCGAGGCTGTCCTCGCCACCCTCTCCTTGCTCACTGACTGCCAGAGGGTCCTCCAGCCGCTGAGGATGGCCGCCTCCAGGCGGCCCCAGTCGCTGAAGGGCGGCGGCGGGGAGCTAGATCCGCTGCGCGGCTCGCTTCCTGCCATGGCTTGCCGGTAGCTCGGGTGACGCGTCGCAGAGCCACGCCGAGCGCGTCCGCCTCCTGCGCGGGTCCGCCGCCCGCCGCCCTAGCCATCGGGCGTTCCGCCTCTCGCCTCCCCCGGGAGTGCGCCTCTAGGGCAGGGTTAGGCCCGCGAGCGGGGGAGCCCAGTGTGTGTGGTTCAGAGCCGAGTACCAAGCTCCCGTCAACAGTGACTTCCTCGGTAACTTGTGGCCTCAACCTCAGCCGCGCTAACCGCAGAGCCCCTCTGCAACCTACGGCCCGCTGACTTCCTGACTTCGTTCAAGATACTCTCTCTGGGATCATTTCCACTATGCCAGGTCCGAGGCGACTCCGCTGGTTCGACAGCTCTCTTGCCACTGTCTTGGGCTGAATAACCACCTGTTTCCTGTTCAGCACTACACACTACGTGTGGGGTTTTGTGTGTGTTGTTTCCTCAATCACCAATTCACCATTTATTTTCTTGCGTTATCAGCAAAAACAGACTAGAGAGGCAGTCAGGAGGCCAATTATGAAGAACCTTATGCCAAAATGAGAAGTCTGGACCCACTATGCGAAAATAGAAGCATATTTAAAATTTGCTTAACCTATGTATCTCATAAAAGGGCAGCAAAAAAAAAAAATCACTAGGAGAACCCTGATGTGGTGGTGCTGAAATCCCACTAGTGCATTTTTTAATTCTCAAAACAGATGTCCATTCTACTTACTTTGAGCTTACTTTAAAAGGGCTGTAAGAAAGTATGCCAGAGAACATATTACAAGTTATCTGTTGTATAACTGGGTATGCATACATTCAAAAAGTAAATCTCTTAAGATCTAAATGTCAACAGAATCCAACAAAGCCTGATAACTAAGGCTCTGTAACATACAACTTTGCTTCATTATTATTATCATTATTATTTTGCATGCTGTTGTTAGGTGCCAATAACCAATAAAATTACAGCCTCAGTTCTGAGAGGCAATCTGGACAAGAACCACGAATGGCATTTCTCATCACCTTCTAGGACATGATTTACTTTGATGGCAAAAAAGAACTAGAGCCAGGAAAAAAAAATCAGTTCAAGTATAAAGTATTAAAAATATATCTGTTAAATGAGAAAAACTTTATTATGAAAAATTTTGAACATATATAAAAGGAGAGTGAATAATATGCTTTGGTGTGCCCAATATCCAAGATTCAATTACCAACACCTGGTTAATCTTGCTCTGTTGCTATATTCACTTAATAACACACAGGGAGGGGAGCACTACACACTGGGGTCTGTTGGGGGGAAATGGGGGAGGGGCGGGGGGTGGGGAGGTGGGAAGAGATAGCATGGGGAGAAATGACAGATACAGGTGAGGGGACGGAAGGCAGCAAAGCACACTGCCATGTGTGTACCTATGCAACAATCTTGCATGTTCATCACATGTACCCCAAAACCTAAAATGCAATAAAAAAAAAAAAAAAAAAGTAAAAAAAAAAAAAAAAAAAAAAAAAAAAAAAAAAAAAATTCATATGGAACCAAAACAGAGCCCGCAAAAAAAAAAAAAAAAAAAAAATAACACACCCCCAATTCTGGATTGTTTTGAAACAAATTCCAGACTTATCATCTGTAAATGTCTCAGTATCTATCCCTAAAAAATACATTTTAAGAAACAGAACACTGTACCTAAGCAATTTTAATTCATTAAAATCATCAAATACTGAGTTAGTTTAACTTTGAAAATAATTTTTCACATTTGATTTGTTTGAATCATGACCCAACAAGGTCCACACATCACACACACTCTTAAAATTTTCGTTTCATTATATAGCTCCCCCTCCTTTATTTTCCCTTTAAGTTTGTTTAAAGAAAAAACAAAAAAACAGGTTGGTCTTTCTGGAGCACGCTGGACTTATTTTTTTCTATATTCTTCTTTTTATTCTTTTCTTGGTAGAGACAAAGTATCACCATGTTTTCCAGGCTGGTCTCGACCTCCCAGGCTCAAGTGATCCTCCCCTGATGTGGCCTTCCAAAGTGCTGGGATTACAGGTGTGACCCACTGTGCTGGCCTGGACACTCTTGATGACATCTCAATAGTAACACATTTGTAAATGGTATTATGTACTGAGATTGAAAGCCACAAGTCAGTTTCATTTTCTAATGTTCAGAGTGATCAGTGATTGCACTGGACTGATCCATTCAAATTTCCTGTAAGTTTTTCACCTCAAAGATACAGCATTTATCAATGAATATTATTTTCTTACAAGTTACAAAATGTTAGTATTCTGGTTCTGTAATTCCTTTCATTAGCTGAATTAAAAATTTTCTTGTCAGTCATTTGATTGTCCTGCTCAGGCTAGAATTAGCTGTATTTCCAGACAACCCTGGCTCATTTTGATAGGAATGGTATTTGAACATGGTTTCTAGTCCTTTCTAGTGTATTTTATATAGAGAAAACGTAACTTCACATTGTTATTTTCCATTCAAACATTACAGACTTTTTTATTCTTTGATTTGATATCTCTCTTCTCTTACACTAAAAATCTTCATTTCTAATTATATTAACATAACTATAATTAACATTTTAATTACTGAGGAGTTTAAGAATTCTTCACGTTCTTTTTGCCCTTGGATATATCTTATTAGGAATGAACACACAAATTACTATGTTTTAAAGATAATTGAAACATACCTGCGTATTTAATATAGAATGCAAGTCACTTGTTTCATTTTGCTTTGAACTTGTAGGGCTTTTTAAACTTTGATTAAATCTTGTTTTAGAATAACATATGTACATCATTCCAAAGTTAGATGTTCAAAATTCAAGGTATATTCCATCCTGGTCTTTTCCATCTGTTTCCTCGCCATCTGCCTCCACCATAAGTAATCATTTTGTAAAGATTTCGTTAAACTTCCATTGATTACACACACACACACAATTTTCCATCCTTTCTAAATATTGTGTGTGTGTGTGTGTGTGTGTGTGTGTGCGTGCGCATATATATATATATATATACCTTCTCCATTTATTTTTTTTTTTTACTTAATAAGACCACTCTGTAGCATTATACAGAAATATACCTCATGGGTTTTTCCAGCTACATATTAATCATGTAGATAACGAGATTTAGAATAATCTGTTTTTAAGTGTGGTATTTATATTTAAATAACCAGTATTTCATTAAATGCCTCTGACTTGTGAGTTAAGAATGAGACCAAAAGTTATCAGAAGCCAAGGCAATTAGGCTGATTGAAAAATTTGATTTTAAATAGGGTATGCATAACATATTTAGATGACTAGTACATCTCAATACAGTGGGTATTATATATATTGGGGGGGCTGAAGATTTTTTGAAAATTAATTTGAGGTTTTCTTCCAGTCATATCCACAAAAAACATTTGAGATGCCTATCCAAGTCCTGATTTCTTCTCTGAAATCTGCTTCCTACCTGAAAGACCAGAATAACTTGAACTAAGGAAAGGCAGTGCTTTACTGGCCAACAAGTTTGTCATTCAATTGCCTGGCTAATGAGTCAGCATTCCAAATGAGGTATGCCTATATACAGAACTAGACATTAAGGGAAACAGTCTAGTAATAGCTAATTCTCTTGTGTTCTTATCATGTGCTAGGCACTGAACTAAAGCACTTTGAACATCAACTTATTTAATCTTAAATATCCTTGAAGTAGGTACTATACTGTGTTAAAAAAATAAGATAATAAGGCACAGGAAGATTAAAGAACTTATAGAGAGTCACAAAGGTAGTATTATAAATGGCAGGTCTGTGATTAAACTCAGGCCTTCTGGCTCCAGAGCTCAGAATCCTAACCACTATATTACCCCATCTTCAAGTTATTAGGACCAGGAGAAATAACATTCAGAAATTAAAATAATAAACTGAGATTATAAAAGTTTTAATTCTGATGCAACAGTCAGAATTAAAAGAAAACAAGCGACAAGTAGGGGGGTATGGTTTTATTTTTTTAAAAATGTATATGCTCAAAAACAGTTTACTTGGAAATTTTCACTAGAAGAAACAAAAAATATGAAAGAACATCAGCATAAATACATAATGCATACTTTAATTGTGGATATATTAAATCCATGTTAATGTAATACTGCTGTAACATATCATCTCATTGTTAAAAAAAAAAATAGGGAAGTGAAACTAAAGAACTATAGAATCCTGGATTCTGTGGCAGATGGGGTACCCTTATTTAAGCTAGAAAAGGAGCCCTGGAAAGTAGAAAGAGAAATGAGACAAGCAATCTAAAACCAGCATGTTAACCAACTGTGAGTTTATTAAAATGCCATTAAAATCTAAGAATCCCTTTTGACATAGCTCACACTTTAATGAACATCAGAATTCACAGCAAGACGGTAAAGTTAGGAATGTAATGTTATTGTGGGGTTTTAGCCATGACCCTCACCTCACTCTACTATATGCAAAAGAAAAAAGTTTTTAGTCAGGATTTGCACTCTTAATCAGCATCAATATTTTCAGTAGCCTAAAACCCTGTAAATGCAGCACAGCAGACACATCTTTAATTAAGTCTAAAAGCCTAGTTAACATCAAAAAATTCATATTGGGAAAGAACCATACAAATTTAAGGACCGTGAAGAGTCCTTTAACAGAGTTTTGGTAACCACAAGGGAATTCAAACCAAAGAGAAACCCCAAGTGTAAAAAATTCAACAAGGCCTTTCGGTATCACTTAACCATTAGCAAAATCTATACTGGAGAGAAACCCTTTATGTGTATCTGAAATGATAAGGTCTTAAGTAATGACCCATTCCTTAATTCAGTATCAGAACTTCTATAAGAAAGAAACTTTATGAATGTACTGAATATGCAAGGTATATAACCAAAGAAGGGAAATTTGAAGACATAAATGCTAAAGCAGTAGACAGTTCCCAAAGACCCCTGAATATGATGGCATCCCACTCCTCTCCCATCACACTAGCCCCTTACCCTAATTTATTCTTCTTCATGGTACTCATCACTTGACACTCTCTATAATACATTTATTATTTAAAATGCTTTGTCTAACTTCCTCCACTAGAATACAAGCTCTGAAACAGGAAGGGTGGTTACAAAGCTATATCCTCAGTGTCTAGGATAATAATCTGGCACATGGTAGGCATACAATAGTTGTTGAGTGAATTTAGTGTAGTACTTTCCTTATGTGGGGTATTTGGTACCTTGAGGTTACTTCATTCTAACTGAATTATTTAGCAGGCTTTAACATACACAAGAATGTGTTCATTATTTTATAATACACCAGAGTAAAAAGCATTTTAACTGCTATAGCCTACAAATTATTCTCCAACTGTGTGGGGGATGGAAAGTTGTACAAAAAGCACCCAGTAT